AAAGAGAAGTCTTATCAGTTAAGACTTGCTTTGTATGTAGGATTTTTTTCCCTTCTCTCCTTGGAAGGCAGGGGTGCAGTTGATGAATTCTTAAGCAGATCTCGCTGATAATTGTATTTCATAACTGTCATGCGGAGAGGGACTGTCCGCTGAGAAGCTATTTGTGTCACTGCATCTCTCTCCCTCTCTGTCTCTCCCTCTCTCTTTCTTTCTCTCTCTCTCTCTCTGCAGCCTCTTCAATAAAACTCAAATCACGACAGAGATTGTTAAGTCTACCTCCAAGATTATTAAATCCAAATGGAGAATTTATGGGTGACACTTCATAACAATTAATCTGAGATGCTTGATTAATAAAGTTCGCTCACCCCCCTTCGTCTCTCTCGTTCTCTCTTCTCTTCACCCTCCCCGTCACTAAAGTTGTCCTGTTTGAGTGGGATGAAGGAGGAGGGGAACAGACGTACGGGTGGCAGGATGGTTGTCAGGGACGACATGAGTGTCATTCTTTTTGATTAATGAAGCATTGTGACCCCGCCTCTAACCCTCCTTCTTTCCCAGCATGCCCACTCTCACCTCAGTAAAGCACCCCCCACCACCACCCACCCGCCCCCTCCCCCCAATAACAGGTAAAAATAGATGTGGGCCAAGTTATGCTCTCCATTTGGATTTAAGGTAGACATCATCTGATGGGAAATGAAGTAAAGAAAGAGAAAGAAAATGTGGAATGGGAAGTAAGAAAGAAGAGCGAGAATAAGGTAGAAAAATTGAAAAAAGAAAGAAATGATAAAAAGAAATGGAACGAAGCAAAGAAATAATATAAAGAGATAGAGATAAAGAAAGAACAAACCAACAAAAGGAATAAGGAAGGCTGGAAAGAGAAAAGCAGAGAGAGAGAGAGAGAGAGAGAGAGAGAGAGAGAGAGAGAGAGGAGGCAGAAAGAGGGATTTTTGGAGAATGTCACCTACCTAACCTTGTCACCATGTTAAGTCAGCTGTGATTAATTAGTTGAGTGAGACTGAGCAATTAGGTCAGGAGTTTGGGTGTGTGTGAGTACAAATGTGTGTATGTGTGTGTTCATGCACAACTTTTTTGATCAAGATCCTTTCATTAACAAACAACAGTACATACAACATATAAAACAAATGTTTTATCCCTTTCAGCCAGACAAGAAGACAAATAACATTTAATAAATATATTCATAATTGTAAGTAAAATAAATGAGTTAAACAATGGGTAAAACATAAAGAAGAAATACAAACTAGCATAGATAATAAACAAATAGGTAAATGCAAATAAAAGGTATGTTATAAGTCCAGTGTATCTGCTTTCATGTTCTCAAACAAACTTAAAAATGGCTGCCAGACAGCGTTTCCAATTCATCCTGTAATGGAATCATAAATCTTTCCTAATTAAATAAGTATACTGGTGGCAGCGGCTCCTTCCACTTAAAACAGAACAGAACTATCATATTGGCCTGAGACCCACACGTGTGAACACCGTTCGTGGCAACAGTGCAGTGAATGCTGATCGTTCTGATCCTTTTTGTATGTTTTTAAGAAAGTATTGATGGATGGAGATAGATTTCCAAAAGTTGTGTAGCTGGTTCCCTTCTGCATCGATCAGTGTAAGTGTGCTCTAATCTAACACAGTCTTGATGAGGCTGTAATTTTGACCACTGCATGGTTAATATAAATTGAGGATGAGTAGATTTCGGGCCTAAACTCAATTGAGATTTGCTCATTTACATCTTCTTCACATTTATTTTTAAGTCATGCGCAACTTTTAGAAAGTGTTAATGTACGACCCGTTTGATTTGCGACTTGCATTTGAATTCCACGTTGAATCTGAATTTACAACAAAATGCAAATTGTGATATATTCACAGTTTTTGCTTGGCTTGCAATAAAGAAAACCAAGAGGGATAAAATGAAGTGTTTTTAAAAAAGGGCCCTGTGGTGTATTATCGCAGTGGCTCTAGATTCCTTTGAAAGAGTTTGAGGATAAGAAAGCCTTACACAAATCCTTGAACCAGTAAAGGCTTACAAAAGATCATATTTAACAATGATGGCTATATATTTTCCTTTTTGCAATTAAAGAGTCCCTCTGTGTAATTTAATGCTTCTTTTCAAGTGTCGGGTCCCCTGAGACTTGGCCTGTAGCTATGCCATCGCTCTTGGTGATTATCATTAATGAATGTCGGCGAGGACCATCCCTCAATGTGACTAGGGAGGAAACACAAGCCCTAATTAAAGGTTCCTATTCATAAATATATGCCTCAAACTACACGGATCGACATGCGCTGTGCACACAAGTCTTTTTAATGTCAGAAAAGCACCTTTTTAAGAGCGTTTTCTCCCTTAATGTACAGCACACCAGCAGCAATGACAGATTTCTGCAGCCAAGGGTTCTTTGTAATTTGAGATCCGCAGATTTAAATTTCGGGAATAAAGCTGAAGATTAGGATGCACTAATTTGACATGATGGCTGAATAGCTCGACTTCTAACTGTAGCCTCACTGTATAACTGAACATTACGAGAAGGTTTTTGCGTGTAATCCCTAAGAGATTGCTGTGTGTTTTATCACAAAAGGTTATAAGGGAGCTCCCTGTGTTGAGAAGTCACACTGGGCATGGCAATGTATTCCTCATCTAATAAATGGAAATATTTACAAAATGAAAATGTTTAACTGATTACAGGATGTCACTAAGGAAGAAAATAATTCTTATTGCTTGTGTTCTCTCATAAAAAGTAATTTTAATCATTTTAATTGCTCCAAATGCAGACTGACAACGGCTCTCATAAACGCTAGCGGTTGCATTGTCTCATCAGTTTCCCAGACAAAGCTACTGGTAATTGTTATGTGAAGAAGATCATGTTAACATTGAGGATAATATTGAGTCTGTCTGAATTTTTTTTTTTTTTTTTTCCACAGGGGCTCAAAGAGTCTTGTCGGAAATAGGAGCTTGGTGAGACAAACATTTGGCTGCTTCTCTCTCCTCCTTAATGGCTGAAAAATGCTAATTGGAGTGCACGTGTCAAAGAAAACAAAAGGCAAGGGAGGAGGAGAGGGAAGGAGTGTGCATGTCAGAAAGGCTGGTATTTTGAAAACGTGAAATATGTCACTTTCTTTTGCCGAGTTGGTGAGGAATTTTTGCAAGGTTGTTCCAGAAAGCAGGAAATCTCAGATAGAGTTTTGCCTGTGGTTGGTAATATAGTGTAGCTTGTGTTTAAAAGAGAGGGGAAAAAAGCGGAGGAAATGCTTTCTGATGCTCTGTATATATTCTGCTGAACAATTACTTCATAGTTCATGTAAACAAGCTGAAGTTGCTTCCTCTCCTCTTGCTATAAAATAACACCTTGAATGCCTGTGAGACTCCAATCCTTTAATAAACTCGCATCTGTCACCGCCGCACAGCATTTCATCACAGTCTTCGTCCAAACTGACAAAATCAAAAAAGCTCAGATGGGGATTACAAACCTTTAATTGCATTGTCAAAACTACAGCAACATACCGTTTTTTTAAGTCTACACATTAAACAAGTCGTGGAAAAGTAAATCTCTATAAAATATCAAAACCCTCTCTCTCTCCATACTCACACTTGGCATTTTAATTATGCAGTCTTATCTGATAGATGTGGAGATATGGCTCATGTCAAAGTTAGAGCCTCTTCTTTATTAATTTTTTATTATATATTCTTATATTCAGGCTGTCAATGAGTGTCTGGAATCTGATAGGACCTATCATTGATTGAAGATTACTCAAGATTATGAAGAGAGGCTTTATCATAAGCTGTAAGCCTTCATCATTCCAAACGTTAACTTATTTGAATGACATTAAGGGAAAAGATTACGCTCTATTTCAGTCCACCAAGGATAAGTGTAAAAGTCCGGCGCCGTGGCAGCTCTCTACACAACTAACATTAAAATATAAAAAGGAAGCATATCACAGAGACGTTAAACACCTCAGACCCTTGACAGCAAATTTGTGGTACACTTCTCGTACTTGCATGCCAGAGGAGCCCGTACCTTTTGACATCGGAGGTTTATGGCAGCAAAATAGCTTGTGTGGTTAGCCACAGGCCAAAATCTGCAATACAACATTAATTATTTATGAATATTAAGAGGTGGGCATTAAATTCTTGGTTTATCTCATCATGAGTTTTGTCGATATACTTTGCCAAAACATGTCCTCTGTTTTACCAAATAAAATATGTTGACAAATGAACCTCTAAGGGCAGCAATTTGAAGGATCATATGTATGCAGTAATCTTTATACTTTGTCAGTACAGAAACTTATCTTTATTGCACAGCAAACAGTTCCATTAAATCAGGTTTTCAGCTAGTTTATCGTTGTCAAACATGGAAGGTAAATGAATTAAATCATGCCTCAGTGTGTGGCTCCGACACACACATTTTATGTAATTTTGGTGTGGAATCGGTTCTTTTTCAAAAAGAAAGAGGATCATGTGATGCCCTCTGTGGTAGTGATGATGAGGAGAAGGATAGAAAAGACAAAGGGGAAGAAACAGGAAAAGAAGACTATGGTAATAATTATTGTGGTAGACATTTTTAAAGCTGCATTTTTTGTGTTGCATGTGTGACCAGGACTTGTTTAATGATTTCAACAAAATGGGAACACACATACTTCAAGGCATGAGTTTGGTTTTATTTATTTATTTAAAATATAAATATATAAATATAGCTCAGTGGTAATTGTAATTCTGGGAAATGTGTTACAGTTAATAAACATACATGCTATCATGAACATTTCTATTGTACATAGTATTAATGATATTTCTCACTCACTATGAAACTTTATTTATATGCTATGAGTACATGTACATTGGTGGCATATCTTTCCCAATATTATTGTTTTATTCCTATATGGGAACCACACAAAGTTATTCTCAGTGACAATATTTACATGGAAAGAAAAAGTGTTTTTTGGTCTTATTTGGTCCTATCAGTTTGAGAGTATCGTCTTTTTCAAACAGGGTCCCTCACCTGATTTGACAACCTGCAGTACGATCCAGTAGATCTTTTAAACAGCTCCTGTTTAGATGGTAATGTCAGACCTAGCGAGAAAAAAAGAGACAAAGAAAAGAATAATGTATGTAAATATACATGACGACTACATGGATGTTCTCACCCGCTCTGAGGGAAGGAAACAGGACAACATGTCATCATGCTGTCACTGTGCCACAGTATGTGGAAGAGGGGCTTCATGTATACAAGTTGGGGGTGGTGGGAAACAACTATTTGTGTGTTCGGCTTTTGTCATACATGCACATGGACACGGGTGGCTGCATCACACGTAGTGTAACTACTGTAGCAAGCAATCTGGATCATAATGTCCTGATCACATGTGGCTGGCTGTTTGAAAAAAAATGTGAACGTTTTTGTAGTCCATGTAGAAGGAACACATTGTAAATATACAGCAGCACAGTACAAACGGGATATTTCTTATTTCAGCTGTAAAGTTTAAATAAAATCTGATGGAAATCCTTTTAAAATAAAAGCCCAACTGTTGGCTCTGTGTGCGTATGTGTGTGTGTGTGTGTGTGTGTGTGTGTGTGTGTGTGTGTGTGTGTGTGCGAATGCTATACAATTCAACTCTCAAATACACATCAAATAACACACACTGAAAGACAGCGAGTGTACTTTCACAGTAGTAGTTTATATGCCATAGTAAAGACAGCAGGGACAAAGACGAAAAGAGAAAGAAATAAACTGAATGAACACGAGCAAAATACCGTAGAATAAAGAGAAAAGACTGCGAAAGAAATGTACCAAAAGATGACATTTTTGAGCGTGCTCCTTCTGAATAAGTCCTGCTCATGTACAGATATTCCATTGCAGTGTTACTACCCCTGCCTCTTGAGCCACATGTCCCCCCCTGCTGGCCCAGGATCAGATCCTGCACAAGCTCCTCTGCTGTATCTCTGCCCCCCTAAAAACCTTTAGAAGAAAGGATGCCTTACTCACTAAACTAACACCAAAAAAAAATCTGAATTATACATCGGTATAGTCTTGTTTATATTGCATATTTGTGACGGAAGGGGGCTTCATATTATTATTAATGTTTAGTCACTGACCTCTACGTTTTCCTGAATAGATTGCCATGAGCACTGAAGTGTGAACCAAAATGTCTGATTGCACCTGAACATCTTTCTTATTCTACTTTATACGGTTAATATTGTTCCGTATCACTGAAACTGGTCAAATAAATTGTGTAATAAAAAAATGTAAGCTCTGAAGCTGTGAAGCAGTTTACATCTACACCCGTGGCCCAATTACAGCCAACCCTAATGTTTTTGTTTTGTGGATGAGGCACTGCAGTAATAACTACCTTTCTAAACACAGCCGTATCTACAGTAGTACTAGATTTACCTTACAGAAAAACAAATTCTAGCACTTCACATTCACCAAAAGTATTCACTCTTATTTTAAGTTAGCCAGCATAGGCTGCAACATAAGGCATTAAAGTTAAAGCTACACCTTGGCTTTCCTTAATACTGTTTACTAAAAATTGTAATAAATGAAGCCTGAATATGATCAGCCTGAATGAGTAAACATAGATCATGAATCTGAATAAAACATCTCAAAGACAAGGAGCAATCATTTGTAAGCTGCAGCTCTCCTGTCTTTCTGTATGTCTTTCTGTCTGTCTGTCTGTCTTTCTGTCTGTCTGCAGACTTTGGGATGGAAATATTAGTGACGTAAGTCGGCTCCATCAATCAGCGGGCAGGCCGCTTTGACAGACAGGGACAGACAGATGTTGGGGCGGTACTTGGTATTTCTTTTACCACATAATAGGCGACCTCAGACACCTTCTCTGCGCACATTATCAGTTCTTTGCGAACAGGCAGTGGCTCCAGAATACCGCGCGTAAAGACGCAGAAATCTTCTGAGGAGCCTCGCTGCTGTGCGCATTGAGGAGGAGACGCCTTTTTCCCCCCCTTTGTTACCTGTCCACTGTGGAAACGTGAGGCTGGAGGGGTAAATTTAGGAAACTCACCAGAATCAGTTAAACCAGGAACTGGCTGGGCGGTTTGCAGAAAGTTTGTAATCCAGTTTCTTGTAAATGATCCGGTCCGTTAAAGCCCGAGCTGGAGGAGCCGGTGAGGCTGGGTGAATAGTGTCCTAAAGTCCTATGGCTGGAAGAAGGTCCAGTCTGAACTGAGCCAGTTCTCATGCCATCCAAGTTATGTTGTGATTATCACCGCACCCTCTTTCACTCGGTAATAAAAAAAAACAAACTTTAGACTTATTTTTTTCTCCCTCTCCTCTTCCTTCACTATCCTCTGTAGCAGTGTGCCGTAAACGGATATATCATGCTCTCTCATTTAAGATAACATTAGCCTAGTTGTGTGCCCTTTATAAACACTTTATGGTGGATAATACTTAGGATGGAGTGTAGGCTATTAATGGAGCCTCTTGTGGATTCAGAGCCCCTCCCCTTCACCAGAAGCCTCACTAAAAAGGTGTAACGAATCGATCCACAGCCTCCTTTGTCCCACTAAAGAGGTCACCGAAAATAACCACATTTGGGCAAACTTTGAAACAGAGCAAAGAGCTGATCTGCACTGCACACATTTTGTGCTGGAGTGAGAATAAAAAGTGAGTAAGGAGTGTTATAAAATGTATTATTCAAGAAAGAAAGAAAAAAACTTGCTATAATGTCATTTACCATCAAGATTTTTTTAAGCCCCACTGTTTATTATTATTAGTGATTGATGTTTCAGGATATAATCCCAATAATCAGTCAGGCTTGATTTCGCTGTGCAGCAAAGATTATCCTCCATGTGCGGGATCAACAAAGTCTAATAGGTTTATTTTGTTGATTTTTAGCGATTGTATATGCAGATCTCTCTCTCTCTCTTTATGTATTTATTTGTATGTATTTTGCAAATTAAAAAGCAGGATTGGACCGTCGCATTGTCGACTATACCCTCACTGACTTAATGTGACTGGGAAAACGCTGGAGCAGCAACGATTAAAACCAAATCTCATTTAGATTTTCAGAAATCTCTCTCTCACACGCGTGGGCTGCACGTCAACTTTCCGAGGCAGCTCTCATTCTGTTCTTTAAGTGCGAGTTTACAAATCGGCCACTCGCATACGCGCCTCTCCCGCGTTTACGTGCGGGGACAGGACGGCGTAGAAATGAAAGCCATCCCAGTGAACAATTAAAGCAGCAGATTGACAGGTGGGCTTTGACTGTCAGGGTGACGCTTGTTGGAGGGGTGGAGTAAAGGAGAGGCCGGAAAGGCAGCTGGATGTGTCTGTCTATCAGTGGGAGCTGTCTGAACGCACCGCGCATCACCAATGTGCGCACATTTCACTGCGGAGAATATCCAGGGACGCTCGTAGCGCTCTTTAGAATAAATAATAATAATAAATAACAACAAAAAAGAAGAAGGGGAAAAAGAGCAGGAGAAACAGTAAGCTACAGTCTGCGGCTCAGAGGGCGGGCCCCGCTCCGTTTGGGGTTTTTTTGTGATGAGTTTCTGAGAAATTCGTCAAGTGTCCATGCTGACAATCGGACCGACAGACAGCGTATATGTGAGTATTTCATTATCCAGGGGGTTTTTTTTCAGAGAGACGGGGTGTGAGCCGATTGCTGCGGGGGTTTCTCCGCGCACACACACACTTGACTGATTGACACACACCCAGCCCGGCTAACGTGTCACTCTTTCCTCTCTTTTTCCTGATTTCCTCCCAAAGACCGTAGCGGAGGTTGGAGACCGGAGCTGGCACCTGGACGGACGGACGGACGGACGGAGAGAGAAACACTACAGCGCAGTTCTTATTATTTTTTTGGGACTCGTCTCCAAAAACGCACTAAGAGGAACTCTCCGTTTTTCTTGACTTTTGCTGCGATCAGAGGTGTGTTATAGTCAAGTGAGCGGTGTGAGCGTATTTTGATGGGAACGCGGCGAGGGGCAGCTGTACGTATCCCCCCTCTCTCTCTCTCTCTTTCTCTCTCTCTCGACTGACTGAGATCCGCACGGAGCTTTCTTTCCGCCAGTTTCTCCCCGACCCAGCCAGCGATGAGTTTCTGTGATCGGCCAGAAGTTAACGGACGAGCCCCCATTTTGCTCTGAATGATCTCTAATCTTCATTTTTTTTTCACCGGACATATCGATTCTAAAATGATCAGTAGAGATTAAACCTCCACTTGCATCGATTTAAAAAAATAAATAAAACAGACTTCTTCACCACCACCACCACCACCCCCCCTGCGAGGGATCTACACTTTAATTTCCACCATCCCGCTGAAGAACCGAGGAAACGCTGCTGGCTTTGATTTCCTCCCGTTGCACCGGTTTCCTCTCCAGCTCGTCCGCTATTTTGATCTCTGCATGAAAAGTCAAGCGGAAAGTCTTGCAGCAGCATGCCGAGGAGAAAGCAGCAAGCACCGCGGCGGTCAGCAGGTAAGCCCCGGCTCTTCAAACCAACACCCCCCCATCAGAAACACACACACACACACACACACACACACCCTGTCACGATTAACAGGCATATGCGCACATATGTTGACAAGTTTACCCAGCAGCCTACAGGCCTGATGCAGGACACACACTAGGCTTCCTCTTATAGACAGCAGTCTTCATGTGCATTCAGTTCATTCTGCCTGTACGCATAGTTTCCCAACATTCCTAACATCCCATAATAAGTTTATTTCCGCTCATCTGAGGCATGTTTGACTGGCAACAGCATTGTTTCATCTACGCAGCCACGCTTTCGGTGCCAATTCTGTGTCTCTGAGAAATGAATGCGCTTAGCTGCACTTCAGCTTCAACGCTTTTTAAAGCTGATCCTCCACTAGGTTGCCAGCATCCAAGTTCTCCAAAACAAAGCTCATCTTATCTCATTTTTACAGGCTAACGTGTCTGATGTGTTGGTGCCAGTAAAGGAAAAAAAAAAAAAACCGAAAGAAAGAAAGGAAAGTGTCGTATTTTCAGTTTGTGTTCCGCTCTGGGATTGCCATCCTTGATTTGATGCTTGATTGATCGCCTGTCATGCGACTGCCTTTGATCTATTCATTCCTGATAAACATCAGTAAATCATTCACCGTAGAGACACGCATGCGCCCGGCAGCTGGACTCCCTCAAAGGATAACTTTTTGCCCCCGCCGAGGAGCAAAGAAAAGACAAATTGAAAGAAAAGTTCTCAAGCGGGATAAATACTTTGCGATTAATACCCGAGGGGGAGGGAACAAGGGAGAGAGGGGGGTGCTGGGGAGGCGAGGGAGGGGTGCTGGGGCGTAGCGAGATCACAGGGAAACATCTCATACAGAAATAGTCCCAAAACACTGCAGGGTGAAGTGGGGAGGTTACCTCTAATGGTCACTCCAAGCTCTTGACCTGACCTCTGTGTTCATCTCTTAGGAAAAGGAAGTAAATAATAAATGTTTGCCAAAGTTCTACACACTTAAAAACCCAACCTGAATATAAGAGTGTTGCATAGGGAGATATAAGTATGTAAAATCAGGATTTGGCACCACAAACTTGGTCTGTAAATCACCACAGAAGTATTATTGATATCACTTGATATAAAAACCCAGTTTAGTAGAATGAACTTGCTAATAGGTAACTTTCTTTTATCACAAATCTATTGATAAATAACCTATTATTATTTAATATTCATTTATTTCAGATTAAAGTCTGTGTTAATACCTTTTTAACAAGCTTTTTTGTTGTTATTGCTAGAGGCAGGACCTCAGCAGAATTAAATAATTACATATTTTCAGAGAAATTCTCAGTCTCTGAAAATAGACTGAAAAAAAAGGCAATATGTGGGGACTGAAACTGAAATTGTTCACAATTTCAGTTTTCAAGCCTTTTTTTTTTTTTTTTTTTACAGTTGTGCCTACACGTTGTCGTTAAGTTGACCAGACATGAACTGTTCTGAGGGGGGGGGTCGCATGTTTGCCTGAATCCATTTGATGTCCCTGGGAGATGTGTGTGATTGACATGCATTTTCAAATGACGGGAGAAAAGAGCAGCCTTTGAAGTTGGTGCAGTAATGACCAAAGCCGAATAAAACAGCTGTAGAATGTTAAGCAGGCGGTGGAAATGTGAGGTTAAGCAGACTTAATCAAGGTTGTGACAGAAAGACTTTGAACTCGGTGGGGCTGTAATTTCTAATTGACGCGAGGCTTTAGTGATGGATAGAGAGAAATGTGTTTGAAGAGCGAGCCTGCACGCTGGAAATGAACAGTGTCGGTTTATACCTCTGCCACAAACAGCGGTGAAGTCCCCAAAAAGGAGAGCGTTAAAGAAAAGTGTCGGTTTTCCTGTTTTTCCTGCCTGTTGTGGTCATTCAGCCGAGATCTGAAGTGGCCCCATTCCGACTCAGCTTTTGAATATTGATTTCATTGTCTGTTTTTGTGACAGACACATACATCACAGGCAGTAATGGTCAATCCCAGCTTGGCAGGCTTTGTCTCTGCATTATTTCCAGTGGATGACATATGGTCAATCCACAAACTTTAACACCTCTACTGATGTGAGTGAGTGTGTGTGTGTGTGTGTGTGTGTGTGTGTGTGTGTGTGTGTGTGAGACTGCTTCCTCTGTAAAATGGTGTACACACCTATAAACGCAGGGCTATTTTTACAATGCATTACCAGATATTTCCACAACCTCGATTTGTCACTTTGGAGTTGCACTAAAACAAAATGTTGCTCCTCAGAGAGAGAGAGAGAGAGAGAGAGAGAGAGAGAGAGAGAGAGACTTCAATGGTTCTTTGTATGCCATTTCAAATGGGCTCTGTTTCATCAGTCACAGTGATGATTTTAGACCCTGTAATGGCGCTGTACCCTATCTAGTTTATGACCAGTGACAATACATCAGTGTTCTTTCATTTGGAACCGCATTACTGCATCTGTTAGTTTTGGCAGTTGAGTTCAGTGCAGTGCAATTTGAGCAGCATAGACTTTTGCTGCAGTCATTTGTCGTCATTTTCAGGTTGTTGTTTTTTTGTCTCCTCTCATTGAAGTGCAGTTGTGTTAAGGTATTTCTCATAGGACCTTGAGTAATAAATGAAAAGTAAACAATGCAGTAATATCAGAAAATTATGATCAGAGTAACAATGTAGGGGCGATAAAATCCCCAAAATACAAACTGTATTGGGACAGCGACTCTGAGTGAGTTTTGTTTCTCTTTCTCTGTTAAGAAATTTATGTTTTACTCATGTTGACCATTGTAGGTTGAGACAAAAACAATGTGAGCATTTGCTGTTTTTCTGTTTAAAATCCTCGTAAATTTGATATTTTCATTTTTTGGACCCATGGTCCGACAAAACAAGCAATCTGAAGACGTCGCCTGGGGATGGGGGAACTTTGTGTGGGACACATTTTAAAATATTTTCAGATGTTTTAATCAAAAACAATTGCAGCCCTAATTGAAATGCTGACATACATGGTTTAATGGCACAGAATCAACTTTATACTGTAAAGAGTTTGATAGTAACTGTAGTAAGTAGCAGCTATTTTTATCGTTTAAATAAAACTGTGCCTGATATGAAACTGTTGGCATCAGTAGCATGTTTAAATATAGCAACATACTGCACACATTACAGCTAGATAACCGGTAATTAGTTTAATTAGTAGATGCGAGATATTGTATGTAAGATATACAAAGAAGCCATCATTTTGTATTTGCCTTGATGCTGAGGTCATAGTATTCATCGCTGTTGGAAAATTAATGGCACTGCTGCACGTCTGCTCTTGCTTTTAGTTTGCCAGCCGCAATATCTTAAATCAAACACTGTCACTCTAAGTAATGAATCTGTCAACTAATCATTCAACATGTCAGTGTGATTACAGTGTGACACTGTGTTAAATTTATTCCACAGGAGTTAAAAAGGTCTAGTTGCAAAAAATATATAATTTTTTATTACCCGTCTCGACAAAAAAACATTTAGTTTTACTGACCGAGACAGAGGAAGAGGCGGAGCAAAAAGGTGGGCGACCAATCCACAGTCGGATGGTTTAATGTCTTTATACTCATGCCGCTGCTCTTAG